ATAGGAAAGGATATTATTTGACTCAAAGTGAAGGCTCAGTCCCCTGCACAAGCAGGTGGTTCACACCTGTTGTTATCATCTCTCTTACACCAGCGCCCCTCCCTGGGTTCACACCGATGTCCTATGGATGGAGACGGGGCTCCCTGCACCAGGTCACTCCACAGCCCCTGTAACCTGAAGGGGTGCAGACCAGCACTGTTCATTCACAATACGTTGTGAGCCTCATGGAAATCTCATTGTCTCGTCATCGCATTAGAAATACAAAGAGAAGAGAATGAGTTAAATAATATACTTTATTTGCTTAACATAACAAAAATAGTATCACCTTCATATGTAATTAAGTACAATTATTTCAGACATCTTATATATACTTTGCATGGCTACTGTTATTATGTTTTGAAGAATCTGTGGAGATTGTGTGGCTGATAGAGATGTGAATGGGTTTTCTGTTGACAAGCGTGGGCTGCTGTGGCTTTTTAAGTGTCAACTTTGATAGGCTGAAGGAGGGGTGGAAAGAATGATTTTTTACCCCGGGTGTGGAGGGTGGAGGTGGGCAGTGTCCATCCTGCAGCTCACCCTGTGGGTACATCTGTGGTCCCTGCATGGGGTGAAGCTTCTCCTCCTGCCCTGGGTTTCCCTGCAGGGGGATCTGACTCCAACTCTCCCTCAGAACCCAGACCACCTGGTGACTCAGGCTCCCTTTGCATTCCATACAAATGTAAGAAACACTCAGATCTCATTGGGCATCTGGATGCTCACAATGCTAATTTAGGAATAAACGGGTGCTTTCCAGTGTACAGTGGCCTCCTGAGGTCCTGCATGGCCCATGTTGGGGATGGCTGGTGATCTTAATTTGGGTTCCCTGGAAACAGACTCTGATATGAAGAATTGTATGCACAGAGGATGTGAAAGGAGGTAAGGGAGGGAACACCGGGCAGGAGACCCCGCCCCTCATTGAGGCCTCAGTCTTTCCCACAGGGAGCTGTGGAGCTAGGAGGAATTTCAGGTCCTCCTATATTGAGGCAGAGGGTTGAGATCTTGGCCTCAGGCAGTCATGAAACCTAACTTCACTGAGGAAGGGCATAAACCTGGAGGAGGCAGTTTTCTGTGCTGAGCAGCACTTCCCAGTGAAGAAGGCACAGCTCTCAGCTGCCACAAGCTCCCAACAGTGCTGGGTGGGTGAGATCAGAGGAAGGAATCCGGGCAGATCCCACAGTGTCCACTCCACTGGTTTTTCTGTGGAGAATGACGTGAGCCTGAGCTCATGTCTGGTGACTGATCCAGGATATTCAGGCCAAGGACTGGCTTGTCATGACCTGTGGAAATCCAGAGACCAGCTGAGGGATGTCTACCTCTGTCTGATGATTCAACCAGACCCCATTTCCCTAAGTCACAGCTGAGTCCCACACCCCAGTACATTGCGGTCAGCTGCGTCCTAAATCCACTCTTGACGCCCCCTCTGCAGAGTCTGCCTGGAGGGCTGGGGGAACTCAGATCCAATGGTCTCAGAGCCAGGTGAACTGGGGCAGATCTGCTCATGAATTTGTCCACAGTCTTCCTGGCTTGAGGAAATGTCCCATCCTGGTCATTTCATCTGAATGATGGATTGTGTCATTAGGACACTTGTCACCTACTTCAGTGAGAATAGTTGAGTCATTTAAGGAACCACTCATCCATGTGGAGTCATCAGGACATCTGGTCTCATTTCACCCATGGTGTTGATCCTTCTAGTCCGACCCCATCCCCACAGTACACCAGCCATTGCCATCCTCAGTTCTGCCATTGTTTATTTATTTTCCCATCAATATTTTATGTAAAATGGTAAAAAGCACCAGGGTTCTCTATCCAGTGTGGTTTTCTGGTGACTTTTACAAGTTCACATGAAATATTGATGGGAAATCCATTAAGCCCCATGGTCTCTGTGAGAATCCCAGGGACACAGTGTTTGCACAGGGTGTGGTCTCGGTAGGGTGGTGGTCCCTGATCTCTGCAATGAGATATATCCTGTCAATGAGCCAAAGACCACCTGGTGGCCAGAGCTGTGGCCTGAGACTGGTGAGAATTCCTTTTCCTGTGGAGATCGTCTCCTCAAGGAGGCTGGGGATGTCCCATCCAGGAACCAGGGTCCTGAGTGCGCCACCCCACCCACCTGAGACTCCCCTGAGCACAGGAGCTGCCCCTGAGTCAGAGTATGCCTGGAACTGGAAGGAAAGGCAGAGGTAGAAGGGACAGGGGAGCCTGTGGAAGTGCCCAGGACTGAGGGCTCAGCTCCTCAGAATGTTGCTGAACAGAGAGGGACAAGACCTGAGAGGGGCAGGAGGCTCAGGCAGCAATACTAGGTGAAG